CATTAGCCACAGGTCAAGGATTTAATAGCCACAGGTGGCAAGTGGCTAGTGTTCTGGACAGCACAAAAGTAGAACATCTTCATCTCTGCAGAAAATTCTGTTGAAGGCCTTTGTGTGAAAAACACCAGGAGATTGCTCTAGATTAGGATATAAATAGTAAAAGAATGAAGATCACCACACAGAAAACGTTACTGTTACAGATAATGATCCAGGAAACATTATTTTTATGCATAAGAAAGCAAATTCAAAAACACTGCAAATTTAGTTCTCAAAGCAGCTCTAAGCAGTTAATTAATATATGACCCCAGAAACAGTTTGCTGGGAGGCAGTGTCAGGGTAGTAGAAAGAGCACTAGGCTAGGAGTCAGGCCTGACTTGTCCTCCTAAATCTCCCTTCTTAATTAGCTGGGAAACCTCCTGCAAATCACTTAGCGCCTTTATCCTCCTTTATAACACTCAATAACCATTAGACATCATCCTAAGCTATTATTTTATTTTCTCTGAGGCTCCCTCCTAATTTAAAATGTTTCCCTTTAATTGGGTCTGTGGTAAAAGAACAACCTTTTAAGTAAAAATGACCTTTCTTAATTCCTTCTCCTAATTCTATCCAAATTTACATATTCAGCCCACTGATAATTAAATTCACTTGTTTCCCCAATATTTCCCCCAATGCCACTCCTCTGTGTGGAAACACGACCCTCTTTCCTGAGGCCAGGGAGCAGCCAGCATTCACCCCAGTCACTTGACATCGCCATCTAGAAGCAAAACTTCCCCCTGCCTTCCAAGATAGTTGGGAAAGGTGAGTCTTACTCTACAGAATTGGGAACATGCAAAAAATGTTATTTGGAGTTAGAAAGATTTCTTTTTTTCCTGTAGCTAGCCCCTACCAACCAGTGGAACAAAAATTTTATCAGATTTCGTTCTTGCCCCTGAAAGAATGTTTTTTTTTTTTTTAAAGTCTTTATAATGCTATCTTCTAGCTCACATGCTCTCTTATTCAGCTCTTGGTTATTGGTCATAGGCCACCAAAGGGTGTGTGTTGTTTTAGGTCATGGAGTTCTCCCTTCCGGAGGGAGCCACAGCAGCCCAGGTGATCAGGGATGGGATGTGGCCTCCTGTGCTGTTGTGTCACTCGTGCCCTAGCCAGTCAGCAGCCGGCTTGGGAGAAGGTGGAGCTGGCCATCTCCTGCCCATGATCAACTCTCAGTTGTTTGTAATTTTCTCACAAAATAAATACTCCGAGGCTATAATTTCTCATGCTTGGTCTCAACCTCAGAAGTGTATTTTGTTGTTGTTGTTTTTGGAACGTTTGAAAAACATCTGCTTGAAGATTATTTCAGTGGGAACATGTATGTCAGCAGTTAAACTGCTCAGACACATTTTATGTTGTGTGTCCAAATAACCCTCAAAAATAGCAAGTACCTAGGCCTCAATGAGGAATTCATGTAAAGAATTCATTTTGCCTTCTTTCTGCTTTGTGATTTTTTTTTTTTGGATGGCTCTTTTCCTGAGAAATGCATAGAAAAATAAGAAGGATCTAGACATATTTTGCATTGCTGAGAAAAATAACAGGCCTTCCTCTTGCCTTTGCCCAACTTTGAAACTGTACCCTTTTCATTTCACAATGGGACAAAGGTTACACTGCAATTAGGTACTCCGATTTAGCCTTATGTGCCTTTTTAAAAAATAATTAAAACAAAGTGCTCAGAATCATGTACCTTTGTAGACTCAATTCACTAGGGAACTTGGTCTAGGAAGTAACCCAGTTTCCCCAGCTGTTAAATAAGATGCATGATAATTACAGTGACCCTCCCCCCACCGTATTTTTGTCACAGTTCTGCTTTTATGGGAAGGAGACCCCACCGTGTCCTGCTTTGGGGCCATTAAATAGTACCTACTTAGAAGCCTGTGTGGGGATTAATGAGTTAACTCTTTCTTCCCTTTCGGGTACCTGCTTCCTCTCTCCCTCCCAGCTACATTCTTTTCTCCCAGTTGCTTTTAAAAGCTGGATGGGGAGCTGGCAGCAGCGGTAGGGTCTGTTTCCATTTGGAACCTTATAAATTACCAAGGGTGCAGAAGTAACAGGAATTGTTTGACTGGTCCTTGTTAAGCAGGATGGGGTCAGGCTGAATTTCCTCAGTAAAACCTTTGTGGACTTTACAACCCAAACACCTCTGCAGCCACCCTGTTCTCAGATAAGAAACAGCCCTCCAGTCCCTCTTTGTCTGCCGCTTGTCTTCTTTTATTTTTTTGCCCTTTATTGCTTTGTATTCATTTTTTTTGTTGTCTGCAGCCAGCAAGGAACAGGTGTCCACCATCTCCTTAAGGAGTTGGGGAAACTGGAGCATGTCATGACCAAGCAAGTTCCCTAAATTCTTATAATTGGTCATTCATGCAGTGTTCTGTTGTAGATGAATACATTCTCTCATTTCAGGGGAAAGTAGAGAATTAAAACACGTGTCTGGAAAATTGGAAGGGCACCCAAAGCTTGCATTTTGGTATTGGGATTGTAAACATGTTAATGAGCTTTTCCTCTAGAAATTACTGTTAAAACTCCTTACTGTTCTACATCCCCCTTATTCCAAGTCTGTTCGTTATGCACCCACTGGGTACAGAGCACTGATAGAAAATGTGTGACAAAGCTACTACTGTGGTTACAAACACAGAGCTTTGGAATGAGCCCAACCTGGCTTTTTCATTCCAGACGTACAGTTGCGACCTTGAGCAAGTTACTTAACCTCTGGAACTTAATTTCCTCACCTGTACGATGGGAATAATAGCCCCCACCTTGTAGGGTTTTTATGAAGAGTCAAAGACGGCCATGTGCAAAGAGCTTAGCAGGCCTTCCAACCCCTTCCCCCCCTTCCCAGCCACCCTCACATCCTTTGCAGCTTTCCTTAATTTCACTTTTCTAATAACATGACCCTTTGATTTACTAGATTGTCTGAAAAAGAGCCAAAGCTCTCTCTACACAAGGAGGAATATAGTTTAACATGTCAGGAAAGAACTTTTGAAAAGCTTCTTTAAAATTCTTCTTTCAAACCTTTTTTAGAAAATGTCCCCTTGTCCTTACCCAGAGTGACGGAGGTGTCTTGGAGGTCTTCTGACGTCAAATACACAAGGCAAAGGGAGGGATTAAAAATCAAGGGGAAAGAAGTCTTTCCTGAAAACCATTCCAAACACCGGGGTGGGTCTGGTCCTCGATCTGGTTTGGAGGGGTGCTTGCTGGGCAGAGCGAATGTGGCCCTCTTGACTAAACAGCCAGGTGAAAAGCCGAAGGACCAAAGGCACTTCGAGAAGGGGCAGGTTTAGGCAAACCCCAAGCACTTCCTAGCCTAGAGCGAGTCCCAAAGCACAGCCTTCATCCCCTGTCAGGCCATGGGGGTTGACGAGCTGAGGGATTGACTCTTACAACACACTGTGCAGGTGGCCAGAACTCCAGAGAAGGGTGAGCACAATGCATCGCTCAAGTGGGTAGCTTAACTACAGTCTCCTGATTTTTCAGTGGTGACTGTATGTCCTTGAAAGAGTCGCTGGTTAGATAAACTGCTCCGGGAGAGTTAACATTTTTAATATATGTCACCCTCCTGGAAATTACTACTAGTATTGCCACCGGTGCATGATTCAGGAAGATGCATCTACTGCAGCGGTTCTCAACCTTCCTAATACTGCGACCCCTTAATACAGTTCCTCATGTTGTGGTGACCCCCAACCATAAAATTATTTTCGTTGCTACTGTATAACTGTAATTTTGCTACTGTTGTGAATCGTAATGTAAATATCTTTTTCCGATGGTCTTAGGCGACCCCTGTGAAAGGGGTTGTTCAACCCCCAAAGGGGTCGCAACCCACAGGTTGAGAACCACTGATCTACTGTCTAGAACGTGGGTATGTTGCTGTCAATGTTATCTGAAGTTCATTCTAATGTCCCCTGCCTGATAAGGATGTTGACACCTTCCTTATTGGCTGAGTGTCCAATAAGTAAACCTGTGAAAAGCATGGAAGCGAAATCTTGGTTTAGGCTGTGATGGAAGTGTGTGTTCGAGTGTATACTTGCCTCTATGGGATTTTGATGCAATCTTTTAAGGACCATAACTTCAGGGAGACATAAAGAAATAATACTGTGGAAGGGGAGGAGTTAACTTTCTAGGCAGACAGTAAGAAGGTGGCTGATAGCTGAGGCACCTGGAGGTGCAGTGCAGTCGGCAGCCGGAAAACAATGTTGTTCTGGGGTAGAGATATAACACGGACGGTTGTCAGGAGTACAAATTTTATAGAGATGGAAAATACCAGAATTCCAGCACAGGGGGCAGAGAGAAGTGAGGGGCCTTGGCTGATGTGTGGCTTTGTCTGTGTTGGTGGTTGTGGGACTAGGGGTTACAGACAAGCTTAGGAGGGTAAGTCGATTCCAAGAATAAATAGAGTTCACAGTGTAGCTATAGAGTTGGGGAGAATCGAAACCTGAGATCCTTGGTGAGTCTCTGAGACTTTAGGACTCATGAATTAGTAACATCCCCTAAATGAGGGATTCAGGCATTGTCAGGATGGCAGCGCTGTCCACAATAGTCTGTGCTAGCAGCCTGGCATGCCCTGTGGCCATGGACATCTGGCCTCCTGCAAACAAATGATAATGATAACTTCATCCTGTGCATGCAGCATCTGTGCTAGATATTCACTGCCCGAGCCCTGGATGTGGTCCCAGGTCTCCACCTCTTTGTATCCTTGTTGCTCTTTCTGCACTGAGCAAGGCTCTAGCAATCTGACCATCATACAATCACCTTCTAGCTCAAAGGGACGAGGGCGATAACATAGAAGCTTCTTTTAGATGAGAAATGGCTTCAGAATGTTTTTTGGTCTTCCAGCAGCACGGCCAGGTGAACACTTTGAGTGTTGCTAGCATGTGTGATGGAAGCAGGGGGTGAGGGGACAAAGCCAGGCTCTGTCGCTACCATAGAGGCATCCCGGGCCTTCTCACCAGGGCCATTTCTCTTTCTCACAACAGAGTGTTGCAGAGGATTGCAGTCTCTCTGAGTGACTCCGGTGGCTTATGGGACATTGGCTTTGGACCCTTTGTAATACACCTCTCTGTGTGGGACAATGACGACTCGGAGAGGAAAGGGGCCCGAAGTCACACTCTCCTACCTCCTCTTAGCCGCAGCAGGCTGCTTTGCCAACCTGAGTGAGTACTGCCCTCCCCTTTCTCAGTCTCTCCTCTGGGAAGAATGCTTTGCCCTTAGTGTCAAACGGAAGCATTGCACATTCTACAAGAACCCTTTCCATAGCCCTTCCTCTTTTGGGATTTCAAAGAACACTTCATTCCCACTGGCTTTTAGGGACATGCTCAATAATACAAGATGAGAACGGATCTCGACTATATCCTATTGGTTATATGTGGGTATTTTCATCATTTCCAGTATATAGCAGAGGAGGGAGAGTAATAATAATAACTGCCTTTTATTGAGTACTTATTGTATGAGATTATGGCATGAAGTCCATGTTGTTTATAAGCTTCACAACAACTCTGTGAGACAAGTATTACTAGCCCCATTTTACAGATAAGAAACTGAGATCCAAAAAGGCTAAAGTCATGTGGCTCAGAAGAGGTGGCACTGAGTTTCAGACCCAGGTCTGTCCAGCTCCAAAACCTAAGCTCTTGCCTTTACACCATACTGCCATTCCAGTCCATTTTCTGGGGACGAGGACAGGTTGGGGAATGGAACTAAGGACAGTAGAGTTCTTCAGAGAAAGATCAAGTCCTCTGAGTTGCTGAGCTCTGACTCTGGCCTGGGTGCTGTGCTTCTGAAAAGGTCATGTTGTTGGTTTCTTGGGGGTGTCGCTTCATTGCTGCTTCCTTGTTCTTCTCCAGATGATGTCCCCCAGGTCACTGTCCAGCCTTCTTCCACCGTCCAGAAGCTCGGAGGAACAGTGATCCTGGGCTGTGTGGTGCAGCCCCCCTGGATGAACACCACCTGGCGGCTGGACGGGAAGGAGCTGAATGGTTCAGATGAGGCTTTGGGCATCCTCATTACCCGCGGGACCCTCGTCATCACCGCCCTCAACAACCGCACCGTGGGACGGTACCAGTGTGTGGCCCGGATGCCTGCAGGGGCCGTGGCCAGCGTGCCAGCGACTGTGACACTAGCCAGTGAGTGCCGCTCCCTTGCTCCTCTGCCATGGTGCAGTCCCTGTTCTTCTCTCCCCTTTCCTCTCCCCCACCATTCATACTCCCTGTCATTAATCTTACCATGAAAGAGGCCTTAACCATTGAAATTTTAAATTGGAGTGTGGTAGCTGCCCTACAGCCCCCAATGGGACCATCTGGCCATGTGAAGCCACTCTCAGGCCCCCCTGAGTAGGGGACATGAAGTGTCTGGGGTGAGTGTCGAGAAAGAGGGGAACTTGACGTGGTTGAACTGTTTCTGGGGCCCCACAACTACGCCACACAATGCCTTCCTATTTGGTCCCCTGTGGTTTTAGGCATGGTTGTGTCAACTGCTCACTGTCCCTTCCATCTTCTGTGCTCCATCCTCACAGTGGTCACAGTGGACCACTTACAGGACTATGTGTGGTCTGAACAGAGCCTACCCTTCCCACACGTGGCTTCCTACCTCACTGTGATGGACCAGCATATTCCAAATGCCTGGAATATAAACAGTCAGGCACAATGAAAAGGAAACTGAGTGACAAAGGGCTAAAGAGAAGAGAAAGGAGGAAGAGATTAGGTGACAATTTGGTCCAAGGAGGCTGCCAGGGAAGATTTCGTACTACTCTTCTACTGTATAATTACCACTTGGGTCTACTATGGTGCTCAGGAGACAACACATGCATTATCTGATCTTCTACCCATTGGGAAATGAGACTTGACTGATTAAATAAACTTCTGAAGGCTGGAGAGCAGCCCCAATACCCATTCGTACAGGCTGAGTCAATAGCTGGGAAATATTAAGGATTATCTCCCCTTTCCTGGAGCCTGAAGTGTAGGGAATAAGGAAACTTGTTGAGACTGTAGGGATATTTGGATTTAAACTGTAAGGTTCCCTGGACTTAGCAGTGTCCCCTTCTCCCTGACAGCCCTGCTCTGGGCTTTCATGTCACCACCATTGTCACCCTCCTGGGTGATGTGGTTCTGGGAGGTTGGTGGTCCTTAGGTTACGGGTCATGCCTAATGCAGCAACCTTCTGAGATGCTTCTCTATCAAATTCAGCTGGGGTTCCTGGCTCTGTGAGGTGTGAGTGCTGGGAGGAGAGTGGTGAGGGATGGGGAAAGAGGAAAGACCCTTCTCTGCCCTCTGTTTCCTATGTCCCGGGAGGGACTTCACTACATGGAGAATAGAGACTAGAGCCGAGGCTGCCCACATTATTTCTGCTTTCTTGGAAAACAGTAAAGCAGCCCTGCCTTTTTCTCAGAGAAGGGAGGAAAGCAGGGTAGGTCCCCAGCCAAATCCCTAGGGCACCAGACAGAGCCCGCGCTGCATCTCGGAGCCCCCACCCTACCCCGTGGTCTGTGAAGCTACTCTCCTTTGTGGCAGAAGGAGCACCCATTGAGCCTGGGGGCCCAGCCTCTGGGAAGCAGGCTACCAGTGCTCAGTAAGGGAGGCAGGCCCTGGGCCACCAGCTGGGCCCTCCCCTCCAGCTGTGCTTGTAGGGTGGGAGAGGGTGCTAGGAGACTTGGGTGAGGAAGGGTCATCTCATCATAACAAGAAGGCCTGAGGTCACAGCTACACTTCCTACCATCATACTCCTCTTGTGTATATTTCAAATTAGAATTAAAATTACATTATAGAAAGTTTAGAATATACAGAAAATAATGTCTCTCCTAAGCCCACCACCGTCACACAGCCACCATTCTCATTTTGGAGTAGATGTACCCTTCCAGTCTTTATCCATACCCTGTTTTTTACAGTGTTGTGATGATACTACTGAATATAGTTTCCTCCCTTATTCTCTCCCCTTTGACACTGTATGAGAAGCCATTTCCATTGGCTGTATGACCAACCATATTTACTTTTTCTTTTTTGTGGAGTATAAACTGCATCCAGTAAAGTACACAGAGTACGCTAATGTTAAGGGAAAAACCTGATGTGTTTTTCATATGTATACACCATGTAACCATCACTCCTGTAGGTTTCCTTATGCCCCTTCCTAGTTAATCTGCCCCCAGCCCCCACCAGATCATCGTTACTAACGGCCCTGGAATGTCCCCCTCAAGTGTCTCAACCATAAGGTACTAAACCCTTTTCCTATTGCTGGACAATTAGATGGATTTCAGTTGTTCATTATTACAAATAAAATGTGCTTTTTAGCAACATTTGTGCCTTTAAAGGGTAATGCTGCTCATCTAGGAGGGAGCGTTCATCTGTACGTGGTCAGCACGTGTCTGTGAAGGTTCAAAAAACCGCCATAACCATTCATTTGGCCTAATTAGAAGCCAGGCTGAACTTCTTATTGTTTGGAGGAAGGGAGAGTTGGGGAGGAGAGGATTTATTTTGGAGCCCTCCGTCTACTTCAAGGTGTATCTGTGAGAGGAGAGACAATTTATAGCTTTATTTTAAAAAAATTCCTGGCCACTTCTTTCTCTAGTGCTTGAAGGGATCTGCAGTTGGCACTGAGGACAAAGGGAAAGGTTTGGTTACAACCCAAGAAGGCACAGTGAGAGAAGAAGAGGCTTTTGCAGAAGCCAACTGAGTCTTGTTGGAGAGCCAAGAGCTATTGGCTTGTCGTTTAGACATGAATCAGAAGTGAAATGTTTGGGCCTGAGTAGAAGGACGGAGAAGTTCTGGAAATCGAGAGAGCAGGCTCGGAGGGGGTTGTGTCATGGAGAGCAGGGAGTTGGTGGAGTGGAACAGCAGCCTCCTAAACTTGGAGGAGGCATTGGGAAGGCGGGAGAGGCGAGAAAAAGGGGTGCTGTCTTTGGGTTAATGCCATGGGGGATTTGGCCCAGACTCAGCAGTTAGATTAAGTTTCCGAAAGCACATTCCTGAGCAGAATGGGGGCTGTGTTTTGCTGGTTGGCTGGTGTACGAGGATGGCTGAGTAGTAGAAGGGATTAGTGAAGGCCTGGTCTGCATTTAGAGGCAAGGCTGGGCAGCGGCGTGCTGGTGTGCACGCACGCACGCACGCCCACACTCAGCATTTGAGACTTTCTTTTCCTCTGGCCTCTTCTGCATGTGTTCAGATGTTCATCCTCAGACAAAGCAGTTGCTGTGTGGCCTACCTGGCAAGACTCTGCCTCCTGCATTTTAGTGAACTCTCTAGAGATTGCTGGGAGCTTTCAACGATGGGGGGCTAAGACCTGACTTGAGGATTCAGGATGTGGAGGAGGAGGCCTCCAGCAGAACTTTCTTGTCCAGACCTCTTTTACTCTGCCGGGTGGGGGTTGCATTTGGACTTCACCCCCTGGTAACATCAGCTTCTGCTCTTCAGGTAAAATGGAACCACCCGAAAAGTCTCACCTGTGCACAGCTACCCTCTACTCCAGGTTGTCCTGGCCATGTGGATAGTGGCTGTCTTCACTCTGTGGAGATGCCCATCCCACTCCCCTGTGGAGAATTTATTTTTTTTCTATTGAGCTTAAACTTTATTTGTGGTTCATCTCTCTTGCTGCTAATGCCTCACTTCAGACCACCTTGTCTAACTCTTACTTTTTGAAATGCTTTTGACTTTGATCTCCTTTATTCCTCTTACCTTTCTTTTCACAAGCTTTATAACAGGAGGCCAACCACTTGATGTGGCTCAAATATTCCCACTCTGTGCACTGGAACCAACAGAAGACATTGCTATGGACACCATATTTCTTCCTCTTTTACCCCAATTCAGCCTTAGCATTGTTCTCACACAGCATAGCAAGTAATCCCAAGTTCACCAGAGCTGGCCTACAACATGAAAGCTGTTTTCTACCCCTTTCCTCTAATAATCTACCATTCAAATAATTACTCCTACATAATTCTTCATTTTTAACTTTTTTCCATTTTTTTTTT